CCCCCCCCCGGGGTGCACACAGAGCTGTATGTAGAGGGAGTTCTGAATTCCAAATCCTCTGGCAGGTGACTCATCCGAATGTGATTTGGTTGGGAGTTGCACCCTGATCATGTGACCCACACCCGGCATTGTCTGAGATGAGTAACCGGCGACGTGTTGTGGAAGTTCCTCCTTCGTACACTCGGGATCCTCATTACAACACAAAGTGGTTTATAGGAGGAACTCCGCACCACAGAGACCGATCATCTATCTAGAACTTTGGTCCCGCAATTGATTTTCCTCATTAAAGTGGACTTTTAGGTAACGAATACCTCCCCCTCCCCCAACACTTGTCCCAGTCCCCACACCTCCGTGCTGTCCCCGTCTTCTTCCTCGGACCAATGCGGGCGCTCCTCTTCAGGGGAGGGCATGTGGTAATTTCCTGGCACTTGCATGCCCCTCTAGGGGACGGGTCATCACACGCGCCGGGCATTTGATGTTCTGTGACGTGAATGGAAACCTTCATCACTATGGGCCTATAGCATGGAGGGGTATAGATGAGGACCGGTGTGGTGAGTACATGAAGCCTGTCCATACACCAGAGTCTAATGTCCTTTACATTTGTCCCCTCAGGTGAAGGCGGAGTTGGAGCAGAAACATGGCAAACAGTTTGACACCTTCGTTGCCGTCTCGTATAAAACCCAATTGGTCAACGGAACAAACTATTTTGTGAAGGTGAGTCGCCTCCGCACTGCGGCTGAGCGGCCTGGTCTATGGCTGCCTCGCGGCAGAGCTGGATACTCCAATCCCGGAGTTTTGTTTATATTGGCACATACATATTGCATTGCTGAGTGGTGAGTTATGATAGGATGCCATAATCATGCCACCCCTGTGAGATCGGGGCGCAGAGTGTAGGTATTGGAGTGCTGGACCACAAGTGTGTGACCTAATATAGTCTTGGTCCTAGGGGGCTGATTTCTGTCCTCACGGGTATCCACCAGGCCCCGGTGGAAGTCAAAAAAAGGAGAGCACCACAAACCTAGAACTTGACTGATTGTAATGTAAAAGTCTGTACTCTGTAGAGAGAAGCCAATGCATGTAGGGGGCTCACAATTCCCCCTTCCTCAGGGCTGACTAACGAAACCATGGAAAGGCGACGTAGAAAACAATTATGATCAAACTTTTAAATGTTTGTTTTTTCACATTTGCCTTTTGCATGGTTTTGTCTGTCAGCCCTGATGAAGGGGGAATTGGGAGCCTCTGTAACGTGGCGGCTTTTCTCTAGACTTATGTTAAGATCAAAAAAGCCAAACTGGATTATCTACGCAGTTGTAATCGTTCTGTAAGATCGGGGTGTCATGGTATTGCTCCTTCTGGGTATCACCAAGGTGTCCTGCGCTCATACACTGGGAGTTGGACCTTACCTGTGCACCATGGAGGACCGCCCAGGGCCAGTGACTCTGGGACCTTACCTGTGCACCATGGAGGACCGCCCAGGGCCAGTGACTCTGGGACCTTACCCGTGCACCATGGAGGACCGCCCAGGGCCAGTGACTCTGGGACCTTACCCGTGCACCATGGAGGACCGCCCAGGGCCAGTGACTCTGGGACCTTACCCGTGCACCATGGAGGACCGCCCAGGGCCAGTGACTCTGGGACCTTACCTCGGACCTTACCTGTGCAC